GGGGGGATGGGTTAGCCTGGTGATGGGTATTAAAAAGGGCATTAAAGAGGGCACATACTGCATGGAGCACTGGGTGTTATACGCAAACAATGAAACATGAAACACTACATCAAAAACTAATGATGTAATGTATGGTGATTAACATAATAATTAATTAATTAATTAATTAAAATAAAGATATTCTCTGTTGCCAATGAATTATCCCCCAAAAAGGGAAATAGCTACTTGGGCATACCTGCCACTGAGCACCTGCCACAAGGTGGAAGTCAAAGGCAGGAAAAGAAAGAGAAGCAAGGAGTTCTACTTTGATTTGTAAAATAAAAAGGAAGTTCTCTCTTTTTTAAAAAAATTTATTTGAGAGAGAGAGAGAGCAGCGCAGGGAGGGGCAGAGTAGAGAATCTTAAGCAGACCCCTCATTGAGTGCACAGTCTCACTCAAAGACTTGATCTCACCACCCCAAGATCATGACTGAGCTGAAACCAAGATTCAAATGCTCAACTGACTGAGCCACTCAGGTGCCCCTAAAAAGGAAGTTCTAAGAGGAAAGTTAAGGATAGGAAAGTTGGAATTAATCTAGTATTCAGTTAGGCTGAAAAGTGAATAGAAAAAAATGAAGGCATAGTTATTTTATATATGCTTTTAAAGTTTTGTCTTCTCTTTCAAATGTTAGGGAAAGAAACAAGGTTGTGTTTGTTTCTTGAGTGTGTGTGTGTGTGTGTGTGTGCAAGCTTATTAACTACTAGAAGTCTTACATTAAAATCACATGCAATGACGTAAATATTTTTATTCTATGGTGTCTATGTAAGTATCATCTCCTGGAAATTCTTTTTTTTCTTTTTTAATTTTATTTCATTATGTTATGTTAGTCACCATACATTACATCATTAGTTTTTGATGTAGTGTTCCATGATTCATTGTTTGCGTATAACACCCAGTACTCCATTCAGTACCTGCCCTCTTTAATACCCATTACCAATTTCTTAGCAACAAAACATATTTTACATACTATACAACAAAAACATTTTATATACTGCATAATAAAATATATTTTCTGTATTATAATATAAATTAATATAGATTTCTGATATCATATATAATTATGTCATTATTATACATATATTATTTTATTAACATAATATAAATTATGTTATAAATTGGAATTCTAATAAAGAGCCAAATCAAAAGACAGTTATCATAGTCACATCATCTGAAAGTAGAATTACACTGACATGTCTATGTGAAATGAGAAAAAATTATCAATAAAGCTTGAATGATTTCTCTGCTTGAAAAAGATAGCTTCCTTACTTTAAAGAACAAGGTTCTGTCAATTTCTTTCCACTGTGGAATGTAAAATAATCTGTTGTACTTCCCCAAAGCAGCTTAAAGGGTATTTATTAAGTTTATATCATTTTCTTAACCTTTCTACCATTCTTCAGAAATCCAAGATCATTAGTTCTTTCCTAACAAATTTGCAGACAATTTCCTCAGGAAACAAATTCCTCATCTTATTGATGTTTAAAGATTTATTTATTGATATTTAAAGATGTCTACCTGCCGGGCCAATACTGAGCCTTTGTTTTGAGCTGACTTGACTGCAATGACTTCTTGAGGAGTGTCCCAGCTCAGATATCTTGTAAAAGGATGAAGAGAAGGTTATTCATTTGGGTAAGTTTCCTTATAATCAAAATATAACAGATATTTCATAAATAAACAGTTCTTTATTTAAATTATAAAAGCAAATTAATTTATTTTAAAAAACAAATAACTTAAAAATTCCCTCACATCTTTATATGGATATATTCCTATTAAAAAATATGTATATATTGAATTTTAATCCTTCTAGAGTGTCAATAAATAAAAACTGTTTGATCAAACAGTATTCAAAACTTAGAAAAAAGACCATTCCTACTTTAAAATGGACATTAACATTACAAAAAGCATTAAAAATGTTACCTTCACATTCTACATGCATATATTTACTCCAAATATGTCTATATATAATATATAAAACTACTAAGTTAAAATAACGGCTTTTAGGAACACCCAGATGGCTCAGTCAGAATGTGACTCTTGATCTTGGTTGAGCCCCACACTGGGTGTAGAGATCACTTTAAAAACAAAACAAAACAAAACAGTTCTTGACTGTACTAGGCAGGTGATTTAACTGAAACAGACTAGCCTTCAGGAAAACCTATCCCGAAATTAAACCTACATATAAAATACTATTCGCAGAACATATAAAATATTATTTGTAGAAGGGAAATTTGAAAAGGGTGGGGGAGAGATATCTGCCAAGGTTAGTTACTTATGAGTGATACAAAAATAAATGATAAAAGGTCTGTATCCTCAGATCTTCAAATGTAGTCATAAGGAGAGAAAAAGAGAAAAGGTTTATAAATTGAGATCCAGATATACAATGGGAAACTTAAAAAAAAAAAAAAACAATCTAAAACTTGTAATTTCCTGGGCCACAAGTCACAAATTTTAATAAAATTCTGAGTAATAAAGTCACAGTTAATACCTGAATTTGCAATATGAAGCAAGATAGATTTTCTCTAGGACTTTTCCAGTAGTTGCTGATATGCGAAACAGCCAATTATGAGCAGTCAGTGCTATGAGTGAAGATTTATAATCTAATGGATTGGGAAGTATTTCCCCCTAAAAAATACAAGATGTAAAAATGAAACTGGTTGGTCATGAACAAATCTACAGAAATCTATGTCCAAAGAAAACAGCTAAAACCTTAAAGAAATAGATAAGTAAACCAAAGAGGAAATATTAAATGTACAAATAGAGAATTAAGACAAGGAAAGATGAAACTGTAGGTAATTATTTTTATCATTAACTTATTAAGTGAGTTTATTCACATAAAGTGCTTAAACAGTACCTCAAATAATTTATTACTTATTATTTAGTATTAAATAATTCAATAAATGTGAGCCAATCATCATCATAACACATTAGGAGTGTTACTAATGATGCTGCTGTGATGACAATGATAATAATAACAGTTCTTAAAACCACGTATAATAGCATCAGCGTAAGTCACCTGCTAGAATAGATGTTTCTTGGGGAACCTGGGTGGCACAGTCAGTTAAGCATCTAACTCTTGATTTCAGCTCAGGTCATGATCTCGGGTGGTGAAATCAAGTCCCACATGGCTCTCTATACTGGGCATGGAGCCTACTCAAGATTCTCCCTCTCCCTCTGCTCCTCCCCCTCCACAAGGAATAAATGTTTCTTTATTCCAAGACCTGTTTTCCTTTTGATAGAAGTCAAAATGGCAAAAGGACAAATTGTTCCACGATTTACTGTGGCTCTACTGTAACTCCAAATGAAAGCTAAAATGCAGAATCAAGGCAGCCAAAGAAAAACAGAAGATGGGCCAGGTTTCAAAGAATGAAGGGGGGGAAATCGGAGGGGGAGACGAACCATGAGAGACTATGGACTCTGAGAAACAAACTGAGGGCTCTAGAGGGGAGGGGGATGGGGGGGATGGGTTAGCCTGGTGATGGGTATTAAAGAGGGCA